ACCTTCTTTGACTTAAGGCTCTAGTTGATTTGATTGTTCATAGACAGTGGTGGAGTTGTGATTGCATTTTGAAATACAAGCAAGAACAGATGCACACAGCACTGTGGTCCTCCACCTAGTGACCTTGGGCAAGTCAGCTTCTTCTCCTATGCTGATTACCTGCAAAGTGGGGATAATCTCACCTAGTAGGATGTTTTTGAGGAGTGGGAGTTATATGTACAATGTCTGACCCACAGGCAATGAATGATAGCTCTTATGATTAAAATACTAATACTAATACTTTTAATAGTTTCAAATTTCATTGCTTCTAAAATATTTTGGTCAAAAATGAGCTTTAGTTGATGAGTCTCCAGGCACATTTTCATAGCCAAGTAATTGGCTGTTGCTTACCTTGGTTAGCTTTGACAACTTTGGGGCATTTTTTTTTTAAGTTTTTACTAGGTCATTCATTCAACTCTCAAAAAGTAGTGAGAGTATATGCTCAGACTTTAACCTTAGTCATTTCATGATTGAGTGGCACATGGAAAATGGTACATTATAGAAGAAGAATAAAGGTTTTCTCTGCAATGGAACCAGTTAAAGTACTCGTGTAAGGGTCTTATTGCAAAACATGATTTTGAATTTTAAATGCCTAATAGTGGTGCAGCCACAATGAAAAACCAGTGTGGTGATTCCTCAAAGAGTTGAAAATGGAACTACCATATGATTCAGCAGTTCTACTTCTGGTTATTTATTCACAGAAAATGAAAACACTAATTTGAAAAGATTTTTGCACCCCCATGTTCAACAGAGTACTATTTACAATAGCCAAGATGTGAAAATAACTGAAGTATCTATTGATTGATGAATGGATAAAGAATGTGAGAGATATATCTATATATATAATATATATATCTATAATATGAATATTATTTATTCATTAAAAAGAATAAAATCTTGCAATTCACGACAACATGAAATAACCTTGAGGACATTATGCTAAATGAAATAAGTCAGATAGAGGAAAAACAGATACCATGTGATCTCTCATACTATGTGGAATCTTCTCCCCAAACACAAAAACCAACCTCATAGAAGTGGTTGCTGTTGGTAGGGGTTGGGTGAGGTGGAAGAAATGGGTGACTGTTTTTTAATCCTCACCCGAGGGGAAAAGAGGGAGAGGGGGACGGGACGGGGATGGGGGTGGGGAGAGGGAAACATTGATGTGGGAGGGAGAAATTGATCGGATGACCCCCCACTGGGGACCAATCCTGCAACCTAGATATGTGCCCTGACTAGGAATCGAACCCACGACCTTTCTGTTTACTGGAGGATGCTTCAGCCAACTGAGCCATGCTGGCCAGAGCGATGTTACTGCAAACACATGCATACATTCATACATTATAGAGACATCCAATTGATAAGTGCAAATTTTGAAATATGTATGGAATTATAATTTAAAAATGCCTAAGAATGAGAAGATTAGATATGCTAATAGTATAGTTACCTAGAATATTGCTTATTTATATCATCGCCCTCAAGGACATTACTTTCCCTGATCTCCCTGTCTCACTATGTATTTCTTCTCGCCCTCACACCTTTCCCTCTGCCTGATGCTTATATTTTGGTGGTGATAAGAGCTCTTTTCAGGACCCTATAAACTCAGACTATACTTTTTGTTAAGGTGATGTCAGTATCATGTGTGCTTTTAGCTATCATCCATATGATAACTCCCAAATTTGTGTCTCTGGTGTATATCTGGCCTCTGTTCAAGACCCGTGTGTCAAGTGGCTGACTGAACACCTCCACAAACTTCTAATGGCAGTGAATTCAAAACCGAGTTTAGTTGTTTCAGACAGACCCTCTTTTCCTTGTGTTTTCTATTTCCATGGATGGTTCTACCATCGCCTCAGTCTCCTATGACTTGGGACTCTTCTTCAACCCTTTCCTCTCTTGGACTTGCTATATTCGGTGTGGGCACCATGTCATGCCCCATGTCCCTCTTTACCATTGGACTCATTTTTTTACTCTTTATCTCACTGCTTTTGCTGTAATACAGACAGATCCTCCTCTTCTCATGCCTGGATTATTGCAACAGTGTTCTGGATGTCTTTGTACATCAGCCTTTTCTCTCTTCCTTTACTTTCCAGCCAGGTTGGGCTATCTGAAATGTGAATCTGATTACATTACTCCTTTACTTACATTGCTTGTATGAATTCTCATTGCCTTTAAATCAACACAAAATTTTAAGGTTCTGGCTTCTGCTTATTACTGCTGCTGCTGCTACTACTACTTCATCATTAATAATTCACGTTTCTCCTTTCTTCCTATCCCTCCTTACACGATCCTACTTAACTTGTACAATGTATTATTGTTTAGTACTTGTGGTTTTCTATGGGAAGAGTATTCTCATGTTTCCGTATTCCCCTATGCCTGGCATATGCCTCATATCCTGATTCCTTTGCCTGAATAATGAGGACATGATTTTAAAGCAACACAATGTCAACCTTTGCAGGAAGTCTTGCCTGATGACTCTCTTCCCCTAATCTGGGTTAAGTGTCTGTCCTGTGGTTTTAAGCAACATGCTCTTGACTTATCTGTACCCTCTACTCCCTCAGCAACTTGAAGACAGTCTTTATTCATATGCCCTGTACTTGGCACATTGTAGGGGCTCATTAAATATAGGCTGATGGAATGTTTTTATGCTTGCATATTAGACGTAACATTGTTAAAATTATTTTTTAAAGTTTACAGTGGAGTGACTTTGAGTATGTTCACAAGGTTGTACAACTGTCACCGCTGTCTACTTACAAAACATGTTTATCACCCCCAAAAGAAGCCCTGTACCTATTAGCAGTTGTTCGCTATTCCAGCCCTTCGCAACTGCTAATCTACTTTGTGTCTGTGGATTTGCTTATTCTGGAAATTTCATCTAAAGGGATTATGCAGGATGTGGCTTTTTGTAGCTGACCTATTCACTTACCATAATGTTTTCAAGGTTGCACGTGGCAGCATGTATCGGTACTTCATTCCTTTTCATTACCTAACATTCTGTTGTATTTCATGTATGAAAACTTACAATATTTTGGTTATTCATTTAGCCAGCTATTGGGCATTTGGATCGTTTCCATTTTTTGACTATTATGAATAATGCTGTTGTGATCATGCATTTCAACTTTTTGTGTGAACATGTTTTCATTTCTTTTGGGTATATACCTAGGAGTGAAATTGCTGGATCATAGGGTAACTTTGTTTTAACTTTTTGAGGAATTGCCAAATAATCTTCCAAAGTGGCTGTGCCATTTTACAGTTTTGCCAGCAGCGTTCAGAGTTCAGATTATTCACATCCTCACCAATACGTGTTACCATCTGTCTTTTTGATTATGGTATACTAATGCATGTGAAGTCGTGGTGTCTCATGGTGGTTTTGATTTGTATTTCCCTAATGACTGATGATTTTTAGCATCATTTCAAGTGCTTATGGCCATTTGTATATGTCTTTTGAAGAAATGTCTACTCAAATCCTTTGCTCTTTATTTATTTATTTACTTACTTATTTAATTTTGTGGTTGTTGAGTTATAGAGTTCTTTATAAATGCTGGATACCAGACTCTTACTGGATCCATGTTTGTCAAAAGATGGTGAATAATTTAAGAAACAAGTGTAATGCTGGTTCACACTACAGCAGATGACTTCTGAAAACATACTAAGTGAAAATGCCACATGTCATATACATGTAATTTCATTTATTTGAAATGTGTGTAATAGGCAAACCTCTAAGACTGAAAGTAGATTAGTGGTTGCCAGGGGCTGCAGAGAGGGGGAAGAATGGAGGGTAACTATTCATGGACACAGGGTTTCTTTTTGGGATGATGAAAATGTTCTAGGATTCAATAGTGGTAATGGTTGTACAACCTATGAATATATTCAACACCATTAACTGGATAATTGAAAAAGGGTAAATTTTATGGTCTGTGAATAATATTTCAGTAAAACTTTAAAGAGTGTATTTTATTATTTGAACTGTTCAAGTTTCTGCCACTTTTGAAGAGTGCTGGGAAAGTTCCCGTTGGTCAGGGTGCCAGGCCTTTGAGCACTTTAATCATTGGTAAGAGAGGAGAGTCTGTCGTTCCTGCAGATTGTTTTTTATGTCAGTGGTGCTGCTATGCTTTAAAAGTCCCTCTTTGCCTGTGTAAAATGTAGATAACCGGTTACATTCAGATTTAATTTCAATTTGGTTTTCATTATTTGTGATGGGATCAGTTATTAGATGCATTATTTTCCCCCCACCCATATAATGTTTTTATTTGGTGCAGATTAGTAGTCTTTGGATGTTTTCTTGTAAGGCAAACACAAAGGAAACTGTATTCATGGTTGGGTGGGATGGAGTTTTGGAGTTCTGATCGTAGTTTGAGTACCTTTACCAGAAGACTGTCTTTTGCACTGGAATAGTGATGATGAGTTATGGGATTTAATATTGGAACAAAGAAGAATATGAACATTACAGATATAATTTTCTCACTATTAAGCACCTAATATTTAACATTAATTTTATAATACCTAATATTTTAATTTTAATATGTGAAATTTCAGTGAAAGATGTCTCAGTACTTTCTAACATCATCAGTGATACTTTTTATTGTAGAGTAAGGGATACCAAGTATAGAGAAAAGTAATTTTTCTTAAAAATTGGATTTTGGTATGAATTATTATTGTGTATAGCTAGATGAAATAGAATGTAAGTAATCACTCTAGAACTCTTGATAATTTTAAGTTCTATCTGTACAGAATCAGAATTCCATTGTGATGCTAGTTTGGGTTCTTTGATTCCGATAGAGAATTCTCCAAGTTAGAGCAGCAGCCTCCATTTTTGGCTTGTGTTTATTAACCTCATTTCTCTATGGGTGTTTCATTCCCATCATCTCTCTGCTGTTACCTTTCCCATCCTTTTTTACCATGTCTCTTGCCTCTGAACTAGGAGAGGTTGTAAAATACCCCTTTGTGATTTTGTTTTGTTTCAGCATAAGCCGTGACCATGACTACTGAAGTTGGCTCCACGTCTGAAGTGAAGAAGGAATCTGACCAGTTAGGAGCAGATGCGACCAAGGAGAAACCTAAAGAAGTAGCAGAAAATCAGCAGAATCCATCATCGGATCCAGAGGAGGAAAAAGATTCCAAGTCACCTCCTTCAGCTAAAAGCCAAAGTAGTCCCCACCGCCAGAAAAGGCAGAAGGATCCATCTGAGAGTAGGGGCATTTCTCGCTTCATACCCCCTTGGCTTAAGAAACAAAAGTCCTATAACTTAGTAGTGGCCAAAGATGGAGGAGATAAGAAAGAGCCTACCCAAGCTGTTGTGGAAGAACAGGTTTTAGATAAAGAGGAATCTCTTCCTGAAGAAGAAAGGCAGGCCAAGGGTGATGCTGAAGAAATAGCTCAGAGAAAACAGCAGGTCATTAAAGTTGATGTCAAGGAAGAGAAACCTCCGGTGAGCAGTCCTGAGACACAGGTATGTTTGTGAAGTCACTGTCTAGAAATGAGAGCTTGATGCTGTGACCACGCAACAAAGGGGTTTGTTTGCTTTGGGTCATTTATGCACTTCTTGCTTTAAGATACTGTTTTGGAATATGGGTCTTGGAGTGGTTTACCACAGCCTTTTCCTGTTATTCCTTTTAAAAGTTTCCAAAATAATAAGGCAAAAAAAAAATCTACCATATATGTACACCATAAAGAATTTGTTTCTATTTTTTTATAAAGATTTTATTCATTTATTAGAGAGAGGGGAAGGGAGGGAGAAAGACAGGGAGAGAAACATTGTTGTGAGGGAGAAACATGTATTGGTTGCCTCTCATACATGCCCCATCTGAGGACTGAGCCTGAAGCCCAGGCATGTGCCCAGACCAGAAATCGAACTGGCAACCCTTCGCTTTGCCGGACAGAGCTCCAACCAACTGAGCTGCACCAGTCAAGGCAGTCTGCCTGTTTCTTTTAAGGTTAAATGCATACTCTCAAGAACCCCGGCATCACTTCTTTTGTATGATACACACTTTTATACCTCCTCGATTTGATTTATTTAAGTGTTCAGTGAGTAGGAAGAAATAGAGGGGTATGTGTGTGCATTTTGTTTGCCTAATGAAGCCTAGGTTTTGCTATGGTCTTGAGGTTATAATTGTAAATGTTATTTGAAATGATATTTATATTGCAGTTGCCAGGATGTAGTTTCTTTTGCTCATTTAATGCTCAAATTATCAACTTGGCAAAAATGAGAAAATTGGCAGTGGACTATGCGAAGGAAGATGTGCGGAAATATTCTTTCTAGAGAACATTTGAAGTCTTGAAATTTTAGGCTTATAGTGTTTGTAACAATCACCATTCTTGTTAGGATTTTGCTTTTAATTTGTTGTTTTTTGCAAATTGGTGAACTTTAGTAGTATAAACTTCATTTTTTCATCACAGCCTGCTGAAGAAGTAAGAAAGGAGAGAGAGGAGGAGAAGGGAAAGGAAATACAGGAAGACAAATCAGAAGAAACAGCAAAGAGGGAGACAAAGGAAGTGCAGACCAATGAGCTAAAAGCAGAGAAGGCTGCTCAGAAGGCCACCAAAAAGGCCAAAACTGTCCAGTGTAAAGTGACCCTCCTCGATGGCACCGAGTACAGCTGTGACCTGGAGGTGAGTTGGGGAACCCCCGAGAGCTCTCTTGACCTGTGAATGCAAGCAGAAGTGCAGTCTGCCCTCATCTGTGGCTTGGCACAACAAATATACTTTTGTGTTCCTTTGAATTAGTTGGTCACAAGTTTACATTTAAAAAATGAGAAAATATAGAAGAGGATCATCATTTCCATCACAAACAATAGCTCCTGACCCTTAAGGGTAAGCAGGGCTGATGTTCTGCCATTCTGCACCAGTCATGTATATTGTCTGGTATCTCTTCTGAATGGGCATTAAAACAGTTTGAATATTACCTCCGGCTATAAGCTACTTCGCTTGACGAAAAATGGTAGCCCTAGGTTGACATTTCAGTCATGAAATTTCAGCACTTTAACCCCAAGTGTTTTTATCCTGGGACAGATCATGATTTAACATCTAGCTCATTTATTTAGATTTAATTTAAAAACCACTTGTAATTTTTAAAGCACATAATTCATTAGCACCGATACTGATTGATACCACTGTATTTTTTAAAAGTATCTGGCACCTTATAATCTTACGTTAATCATAAGAGTTTGCTGCTTTTCATAGGTAAATTGCTTTATTTATATAATATATAGTAATACACGATATTTACTGAAGAACTGTGTGAGGAGCTTTGAATGGATTATCTCATGTCATATTTATAAGAATCTATATGAGGTAGGTATTATGAGTGTTGCCAGTGTTACAATAGGGAGTGTAAGCTTATAGTTAGGCTTATAGAGGCTAAGTCGTTCGCCTCAAGTTTCATAGCTAGCTAGTGATTGAGCCTGAATTCCAGCCCCAGTTTGACTCCGGAGATCATGAACCTGACCACTGAACTAAGATAAATGATTCATGGTCCTTGCCTTTATCTTTGTATTAGTTATCTAGAACTTTTTACTCATTTATTGATAACTGTTCTGATATTTCAGTTGTTTCAAGAAAAAGAGTGGCAAAAGAGGATAAATAATACAGCTCAAAAAAGAGAGAGGAAGGAGAGAGAAAATGATACTGTGTGTCTCAGCAGTAGGGAGCAGTAAGGAAAACAATAGAATGGGTTTCTGAACTTAACTCAGTTACATTGCTTGTGACCACATGTCCCTCATTTTTCCTACCTATCCTAGAAGTTAGGCAGTCTAGAGTTTGAGAACCAACTTTGTAACTTATTACATGACCTTCAGTCATTTATTCAGTCTCTCTGGGCCAAACTGAGCCCCTGAAACTGACTATAGAAGTATAGTATTAATTAGATAACCTGGAAGACCCCTGTCATCTCTGCAGTTCTTTATAATCACTAAACCTCAAGACTGAAAAACGTGCTTTATGGTTTAAATCTATTTTTGTTCTCTCTTTTTTTTCTCATTTTATTTATTTATTTTTTTAAATTTTATTTTAATTTATTTTTTCAAATACATTTGTCTCTGCCAACCCCCCACCACTTTCCCTTGCCCCCTCCCTCCTTCCCTCCCTCAGCTCTTCCCCTTTGGTTTTGTCCATGAGTCCTTGCTATATGTTCCTTGACTTTCCCCTTCCCTTCCTTGTCCCCACCCCCCTCCCTCCTTCCCTCTTGTCTCTGTTGATTTCTTTTCTTTCAGTGTTGCTGGTCTTATTTTCCTTGCATCTTTGTATTGTTGGTTAGGTTCCACTTATAGGTGAGATCATATGGTATTTGTCTTTTGCCCCCTGGCTTATTTCGCTTAGCATAATGCTCTCCAGTTCCATCCATGCTGTCAAGAAGTTTAGTAGTTTTTTTTTTTCTTTCTGATGCGTAGTATTCCATTGTGTATATGTACCATCACTTTTTGATCCAATCATCTACTGATGGGCATTAAGTTTGCTTCCAACACTTGGCTATTGTAAATTGTGCTGCTATGAACATTGGGGTGCATAGGATCTTTTGTATTGGTGTTTTGGTGTTCTTAGGGTATAGTCCCAGCAGGGGAATCACAGGATCAACAGGCAGTTCCATTTTCAGCTTTTTGAGGAAATTCCACACTGCTTTCCACAGTGGCTGCACCAGTCTGCATTCCCACCAACAGTGTACTAGGGTTCCCTTTTCTCTACAGCCTCGCCAGCGCCTGTTGTTTGTTGATCTGTTTATGATGGCCATTCTGACCGGTGTGAGGTGGTACCTCATGGTGGTTTTGATGTACATTTCTCTGATGGCTAGTGATGCTGAGCATGCTTTCAAATGCCTCTGGGCCCTCTGTATCTCCTCCTTGGAAAAGCGTCTGCCCAGGTCCTTTGCCCATTTTTTGATTGGATCTTTTGTCTTCTTGGAGTGGAGTCGAGTGAGTTCTTTATATATCTTGGAGATCAAACCTCTATCTGATGTATCATTAGTGAATATATTTTCCCATAGGGTTGGCTCCCTTTTCATTTTGCTGATATTTTCTATTGCCGTGCAGAAGCTTCTTATTTTGATGAGGTCCCACTTGTTTATTCTTTCCTTTATGTCCCTTGCTTTAGGAGACGTATCAGTGAAAAAATTGCTGCGTGGGATATCTGAGAGTTTCCTGCCAATGTTCTCCTCTAGGACTTTGATGGTGTTGCAACTTATATTTAAGTCTTTGATCCATCTTGAGTTTATTTTTGTGTATGGTGTCAGCTGATGATCCAATTTCAATTTTTTGCATGTAGCCGTCCAGCTCTTCCAACGCCATTTGTTGAAGAGGCTATTATGGCTCCATTTTATGCTTCTGCCCTCTTTGTCAAATATTAGATGCCCATCGAGACCTGAGCTTATTTCTGGGCTTTCTATTCTGTTCCACTGGTCTCTGGGTCTGTTCTTGTGCCAGTACCAGATTGTTTTGAGTATAGTGGCTTTGTAGTAGAGTTTGATGTCCGGTATTGTGATCCCTCCTACTTCGTTTTTCTTTCTCAAAATTGCTGAGGCTATTCGGGGTTGTTTATGGTTCCGTATAAATTTTTGAAATGTCTGTTCTATTTCTGTGAAATACGTCATTGGTATCATAATAGGGATTGCGTTGAATCTATAAATTGCTTTGGGTAGTATGGACATTTTGATGATATTAATTCTTCCAATCCATGAGCACGGTATATGCTTCCATTTATTTGTGTCTTCCTTAATTTCTTTCTTCAATGTTGTATAGTTTTCTGCATACAGGTCTTTTACGTCTTTGGTTAAATTTATGCCTAGGTACTTTATTTTTCTTCTTGCTATATCGAATGGTATTTTCTTTTTTTTCTGATTTCTTCTTCTATTGCATTGCTGGTGTACAAAAACGCCTTTGATTTCTGAATGTTGACTTTGTATCCTGCTGTTTTGCCAAATTCACTTATTAGGTTGAGGAGTTTTTATTTTTGTTCTTTTTTTTAAAAAAAGTCACGATATATTTAGGAGTACAAAATATAGAAACAATAAAAGAGACAATTTCATGTTCACAAGAAATAAAACATTAAGGACATTGCATGCTACAGTCTCATTCCTGCCTCTCCTGTCTTGTTCTCCCTGTGTCTGTTTATGATGTGCAAATCTACTTCATTCTTTTCAGCTGCTGTGTAATAGTGCTCTGAATGACTAAACCAGCTTATCCATTTCCCTACTGAGGCACATCATCTTTGTGTTATATAACAGTTGGTGCTTTAGTGAACACTGCTGTGCATACTCCCTTGTTTACTTGTGCAAGAGGTCAGGGTAGGCACCTCGTAGTGGAATTACTAGGTTGATGAGTTTTACTTCTTCAGTTTTCCCAGATAGTGCCAAACTGATCTACAAAGTGGTTGTGCCAATTTAAGTTGCAAACAACAACTGCAACTGTGTTTGGTTTTTCCATGTTGTCATCAGCACTTCCTGTTATCAGACCTTAATTTTTACCAATCAAATGGATGTGAAATAGAGTCTCACTATTTCAATTTGCATTTATTTGATCATTGTCAACTTTCACTAGGTTATGCTGTAGTAACGAACAGCTTCGAAATATTCTGGACTTACAAAAATGGGTTATTCCTTGCTCATGTTATATGCCCCTGGTGGGTTGGCTGTGGCTCTGCTCCATGTCTTCTTGGTCTTCGGACCAAGACTCAAGGTATAGCCTTTACCTGGGACCTGCTGTTCTTGTAGTACAATAGAGGGAGAAGAAAAAGCACAGCAGAACCACACTAACTCTTCTTCTTGGAAGTGGTATAGATCACTTTCACTTAACATCTCATTGGCCAAGCAAGTCGTGGTTAAGGCTGATAACAATAGGTGGGCAAGTTTGATCTCCTCAAAGGAAGAGGCTGGTAAATCATTGAAAACATGGGAACAATACTGTGATTTACAACTGATGAAGCTGAGCATCGTTTCTGTAAGTTTTATATGGGTTTCTAGGATTGCACTAAGATTTTAAAAAATAGGTATTTTTTCTCAGATTAAAGATATTCTTTTTCTAGTTTTTTAAGAGTGAAACTAGGAAGGTTTCATGGACAGTGAAAGATAGGAATTGATAGTGAATTTTATCATATATCCGCATCAACTGAGATGATCTTACTTTTTTGTAATCTGTTAATGTTGTAATTCACATTCATGTTTTCTAATGTTAAGCCATCTTTGAACATTTGTAATATAAATACTACTTGTTTGTGATGATTTGGTATTCACTTTTTTTAGGAGTTTTTGCATATATTACCTTTAATTTTCTTTTATCAAACTATCTTCATCAAATTTTACCTGGGTTATGCTAGTCATGTAAAGTTGCTCTTCCCAATATTTTCTGTGATAGCTTGGCTAAGTTAGGGATTAACTGTTTTTTGCAGATCTGGTAAAACATGCCTTAAAATTGTCTTGAGCTGATGGCCTTTTTGTGGGAATAGTAGCGTTGGAGGGTATATATTTTTAAATAATTGACTCAATTTCCTTATAGTCTGTTTTTTGTTTTTTGGTTTTAGTCAGTTTTAGTAGTTCATATTTTCGGTGGAAACTATCCATTTTGACTAACTTGACAAATCTTATTGGCATGAAGTTTTATTTTTTAATAAATATTTTTATCTTGTGT